ACCTGCAGCATCTCTACCTTCACTAACAATCAACCGGAACCTAGAGTGTCACCAGTAGTTCCCACCATCACCACTTTGTCTTTCCATTTTTCAAAACCCAGTCACTTCTCCATCTCTCAACAAAAATAAAAGTGGTAGCTGAGTGCGATTGCTACAGGGGACGCGTGTGATCCTTCCTTCCCCTTCTCCCGCCAACACAAACCCTTCAGGTGTCAGTGTAACAGTCCATGTCTCACGTTTCAAAGACACAGCTCCGGAGCACAGCACCGCCAGTCTCAGCAAGTCTAAGGACAAATGCTGATTTCGGAAAAGCCTCGTTTAACAACAAACAGCAGATTGTTTTTAAAAAGACCATCTCAGCAGTGCCCGCTTACGTTTTGCAGAGTCTCCTCGGCTTTTTTAACAGCAGCAATCTCAGGGATTTTGGAAAATTTGAAAACCCAGTTCCTGGGTCACTTGCCTGTAAACCCTGGTGTGCAGACACACGTGCCATTGAGGCCCTCGCTGTCGCAGGTGCCTCCGTTCAGACAGCTGACGTTAGCGCAGGGGTCCTTGTAGGATTCACAGTGAATTCCTGCGGATAGAGACATGAAAGGGGTGGCTCAGTAAGGAATCTCCAGCTCCGGTGGCCTTGAAAGCCAAGTGTTTCAACTTCCTAGGATGTGCAGAGGCAGGTTCCTGGTGTGTGTGTGCATGTGTGTGCGCGAGCACATGCCCAGACTTCACTTTAGATTACTGTAAAGACACACTTTATGAGAAAATAACAAGTGCAATCCCTGTTCACAGATACTGAAATGAGCCCCAGCTCTTTGGAGAGAGAGGGGGCCCCTTGGTACTCAGACGTCAAGGAGCTAATCAGTTCCCCACGTACTAAAGCTAACGCATTGTGCACATACTACATCCCAGACCCCACACTGTGCTTTACATCTGATCTGATCCTCAGGACAATGCTATGAGACAGGTACCCTCATTCTGCCATTTCCAGGAGAGGGAACAGGAACGAATGGGGCCTCAGGACTGGCAGGGGAGGGAGCTAGAACCTGGAACCACAGGCAATATGCATCCGAGTCTGGAGAGCGCAGACTGGCCACGGAAATATACAAAATTATATGTAGCTCAGCACCCATTTAACAAAAGGGAGGCATTTTAAAAATCATAGTGAATACAGTGAGTTTCCCATTATATTTTAAAAGGTCCGTGTGCGTGTATACATGCAAATGCCCAAAGTGGGACTGAGAGGGGAATGAATTACTTTGACTTTCACACTATGTATTTCTATATTGTTGGAATGATTTTGCAATGAGTACATATTTTATCATTTTATAAAAATCTAACAGCGCTGCGCTTTTCCAAAGGCAGGATTTCCGGCGCTGCCTCAGTGAGGGGCCACGGTGGGCGCCTGGGGCAGGTGACCCTCCCACTCCCCCCCATTACACCCTGGACGGGGATCTGTATGACCACAGGCTGGACCGTATTTACTTCCTCTGCGCCACACCCCGTGACTCACCATTTAGTCACTGACACGTCTCGTGCTGGGAATCTTCTCTCATTTACTTTTCAGTGTAAGAAGCGGGCTCAAGGGTGAAGACCGAACAGGAGAGAAATAAAACGAGAACTGCCCGGCGCACACTGCTGGCCAAGCCTTTTGGGCGGCGTCTCCCTCCCTTTCACCCTGAGCCCCTCACGCCCGGCCCTGGGGAGTATTCCCCATGCCTTTCTCCCTGCTTTCCAAAGCCCTGCCTTATTTCTCCCCCAGCGGCCACCACCCCAACCCCGAGGCCTCGCGCTTAGTGGGATGGGGCCCCTCCGAGCCACATCCTAGCTCCCTGCCTGTCTCTGGTGCTTTGTGTGAGCCACAGCCTGGGAGACTCATGCATGCGAATATACAAGCTCAAAGTAGTTTAAAGATTAAATCATGTATTAGCATAAAACTGGGCATTCCTCTCTTGAGAGAGGGAGATGAAGAGGGGAAGAGAGGGAGAGGGGGGGAGTGG